AATTCAAAAAGCAGTATAATTTATTCGCTTATTGTTAAATCAAAATGGCGGAGTACTTGGAGCAAAATATCGAAGATGTGAAAAACTATGTTCAAAAGAATTATACTTATCGGCAGATCAGCGACATTTTCAAGCAGCATTTTTCTGGGGTTAGTCGAGGTTTCTCGGTATTGTGTGCTGTAACTGATTACTTTAAATAGATATCGATATGCCATATATACGTATAGCGTTGGGTAATATTGTGAAGGCAAAACAGTTTAACATTCATAATTAATTGAAATTGAGAAGGATAAAAGTAACTAGTATTAATAGTTACCTTTGATGCCTCACGAATGTGGGACATCAAACTATTGCCAGAGTGCTCAAACTGCAAGCAGTGAGCGTGTGATAATCAGTTACAGCACACAATATACCTCACTGATAGACTGTTTAATGATGTCCACTTCAAAATTGTCCAGTTTCCTTATTCCACGTTTTGAACAGAATAACCGAATGTTTCTCTCCGAGAAACTTCGACTAACCCCAGGAAAATGCTGCTTGAAAATGTCGCTGATCTGCCGATAAGTATAATTCTTTTGAACATAGTTTTTAACATTTTCGATATTTTGCTCCAAGTACTCCGCCATTTTGATTTAACAATAAGAGAATAAATTATACTGCTTTTTGAATTGGTATACACTTAAATTAAACGCTATGCTTTAACGTGCGTTAACGCGAAAACGCAGTTGATAAAATTCCAGACCATTTTTAATCCGGTTGAGTATCAACAGATTAAATAAAAAAGGGTACCCTTTTTCGTCTTATTATAACAGATCATATTTCACAGAAAAGGGTACCCTTTTTCATATTACTATGTAAAGAACATAGTTGACCGAAAAGGGTACTCTGTTTCGTCTTAGTACAAAACAACATGGTTGACAGAAAAGGGTACCCTTTTTCGTCATTTTACAAAACGATGCAGTTGAGCGATAATCGTACCCTTTTCAGTTATTTTTATGGAGATTTGATTTGTATAAATTCGTTAGATAATCCGCTTTTTCGCCTTTAAGTTGAAACTTGGATCGACGTAAAAGGGTAATTAAAACGAACCAATTCCCTTATCACACAAATCTCAAAAAAGGGT